AGGAATAAGATGAGAATGAGACGAGTGTGACAGTAGAAATTTTGGTGGTACGATGAGAGGGTTGACGAGAGTCACCCTTGCACAGACCACTGCGTCAGTATTTAAACGTAGGGAATACATATTATATCCAGGACTAGACGACGTCTGTTGGGGGGACATAGCAGGAGAGTAAACGAAATAGAGATTTAGTAAAGACGAGAGAAAGAGATGAAATACAAAATATAAAAAAAAAAAAAAAAAAATAAAAGTGAGGGGGCGAAATCGGGGTGACCCATTGTACTCAGGTGTGAGGCGTGTGCAGCCACGGGGACGATGAGCTTCAGGCAAAATGAGAATTATGAGAGAGAAAGAAAGAAAAGGTGGATTTGCACACGCGCCACGAGTCGTCTCGACAAAGGGATGGAACAGATTGGAAGCCATTCATTCATTCATTCGTTTCGTTCACTACTCTATATCTACATAGAAAGTACTCAGGCTCTCACTTTTCTTCTTTTTTATATTTTACTCAGGATTACTGAATTCGCAACAACAGAGAGTGAATGCAACAGTAGTTGGTATATATACTATACATATTATACGTATTCACCCTTCATCTCTTTCTCCACAAATCTGGTGCTTGTTATCTGCGTTTGTACTTATATACCATTGTCAGAATATACATATATATATATATACCTTCATTTCTAAACACACAATAACCTTCCATTATTCTCCACTAAATATAATAATATATTCCATAAATTATTTTAATGCCACATAATACACGGTGTATATAATGTAAACAAAACTAAATCTCGGATTTATATAGGTATTAATAATTATAATCCAATACAAATTTAAAATATAATAACTTGAGTGATCTTATACCCATACTGTTGGTTATATTTAAGAATAAGAAGTACCAACGACAGAGAATACAGATATAAATAAAATGAGTAAGAGAAAATGTCAACAACAAAAAGCTCCTGGGATAGTAGCGTAGCATATATAGAATAATCTCAACCAAGCATAGGAAGAAAAGAAAATATAGTGCTGCTGGAAAGACGAAAGAGTATCGCCACGTGCCACGGAGCTTTCTGCTTACATTTTCCTCTCTTTCTTCCTCACGTATCACGTACATGCTTTATCATCTCCCCTGCATTACACATCCGCCTTACCCTTTATACTTATATCCTCTTCTCTAGTCTACTGTGTGTTTCATACATCTATACATACTATTACTGTACTGCAAAAGAAAGTACTGTACTCTATATTCTTCTCTGCAAGCGTATATGTGAGTTACCTTTACCGCTCTGCTCACTATTTCTCTATTGTAGGATCCTACATGTATTATAAAAGTGTGCGCATGGGATCGTTGTAGTCACAGCTTCCCTTAGCCGCGATTGTCGCGTGACTCACCCATATGTAGACTGTAGACTCCTATCCATTGGCGTCGCCGGTATAGTACGGGTAATTTTTCATCTGGTATCATCAGTGTAGTCATCCAACACAGCTATTTTATTCTTCTTCCATCTCTTAACTTAAATATATACGTATATATATATATAAAGCTTTTTTTATTTGTTTTAAATCTCCCTGTCAGTATGTGTGTCGAATATCATTGACTCTCCAACTCAAGGAAGTTTATCTTAATAACTCAACGTCACTTCTTCTATTCAGAGCTCTCAACTTGCTCAGTAAACTAGACATAAAAAATATCTATTAGTCAATGCGTTGTTTAAAAATAAAAATAATGAAATAATGAATAATGAATAAATAAAAATACCTTTATATTTAATGGTTAGTAATTATTCTTGAGTTACTCAGCAAGCTTGCAATTCTCTGGACTCTACGTCAATGTATTATACTTACTCTGTGCATCAATTCCAGTACAGTAGTAGCTTCACTAGCTGTATATAGGTGACTCTTTATGTGTACATATATGTAGGTACATTGTAATATGTATTAGTGTCTTACAGCTTCACTCGCGAGTAGAGGTTAGTGTAGTGATAGTTATAGACGGTGAAGAGTGGGAGATGGATGTTGGTAGAAAAAAAGGAGGAGACCCAGATGAGAGTAGAGCCAGATAAGGAGAAGCGACTCCGATATAGACCCCTATATGACATCATCCCCTTCCTGAGCCAGAGCGTTCGTTTCGCTGGGTGACTTCTGTCGCCTAACTTGGCCTAACTCTCCAAACATGCCCCTCTGTTCTTTACTTATAGATATGTATTGTAGAGATATATCTATATATTGAGGGTCCAGAGTTGGACCACCACCTAACCTCCCTTTACCTTTAATCTTTATCAATCCGTCCAGCCGAGCGTCCGAAAGGAAAGAGAACGCCAAGCGGACGCCACCGTGCATTACTCACGCCCGATAGCGTCTCCCTACGTACTATTCACTGCTGCTCAACACAACACAACACAACATCCTTCTCTGCTTTTCTCTTATTTTATTTTATTACTTTCTCTCAGCCATCCGGATCTTCATCTCTCGCACATCGTACTCGTTTACTTTTTTCCCATACATCCATGATACCGGATTTTTTTCCTCCTGTCGTCATCAGACCCTTACCAATAATCTCGACTCAAACTGGAACAAGAAAGCACTAAGTGAGATAGAAAAACTATCATTTTTATTTATGTTATTATTATCACTAAAAATTTTATGGAATATTAAAAATAAGAGTTGAGATATAAATAGAGGAGATTAATTTTTTGTTTTGAAAGTATGATGGTAAAATTTTATAAAATTTACTTGATAAAAATTAAAATAAAGTTAGCCGACATTTAGAAATTTTTTATTAAAGAAATATTACCAAAAATTTTTTTCATTTGTTAAAAACTTCAAAAACTATTAGTGCAATTTTTTAAAAATATTTTTTAGTTATAATTTAATAAATAAGCAAAATAAAAAAATTAAAAATGTCGGCTAATTTTATTATTATTTGATAAAATTATGATGAAACTATTAATCATCATACTGAAGTTTTGTAAAAAAAATTCCCAATATGAAAATTAAAAAAAATTATTAGTTCAAATTTTTAGAAGTTTTTTTTTTTGTAATTAACTTGTTATGAAAATTAAAAAAATTGACAGCTGTTAGCTAACTTCAGTATCATAATTAAATGACACTGAAGTTGACAGACATTAAAAATTTTTTCAAAATTTTAAAACAATAAAATTATTAAGAAAAAAGTTTTTATAAAAAAATTCTAAAAATGAAAGTTAAGAAAAAATATTAGTTAAAATTTTTAAAAGTTTTTTTTTTGTAATTGATTTGTTATGAAAATTTTAAAAATTAAAAATTGTCAGCTAACTCAGCAGTATCGTAATCAACTTCAAATTTCAGTGAAATAATTTAAATTCTTTGTTTCAAAGTTTGACATCTAAATTCTGAATAATTAAATTGATAAATTAATTTAGTTGATTGTTTAAAATTTTACACCTGAAATATAAGAAAGTATAGACTCCATTTTATTTTACAAACCTGAATTGAGATAATTATAGGATCCGAGTGAATAGAGCAGAAACTAAAATATAGGGTCCAGAACGAATTCAACGGACGATTATTAGGGTGGGTGTACACACCTGAGTCCTTGAAAAAGGAAGCAGGTCTGACAGGTGGGTGGAGCTTCAGATAGCACAATATACCCACCAGCAAGCCACACCTACTATCGATCATTACATTTTCTTTAACTTTGTACAAGTATTTCTTAATAACTTGCGGTCAACCTTCAGTACTTTACCAAGACAGAGCTTCTTCCCTCATTAGTAAACAAAGACCGAGCAGAAAAACATTATAAAAACTACACCGCTCTCTCTTATTTTTTATTCCTCAGTACTTGGATCGTAAAGCTGATGATGAGTTCTTCGAGCTGAAAAAAGGTCTGAATTATTTGATCGGTTTACTTTTTAATAAATTATTCTCGACATACAAACGCTTTTATATATATGAGATGAGATAAAATGGATGATAGTTTGAATAAATTTTTAACCAGCGCACAGATATATACGAATACCCGAGTACAGTCAATCATGCATTCAAGATGTATGAAAAAATTATTTTTACCCTGTAGTGACGCATAAAATATTCCGTAGTGAATATTTTTTTACCTTACTTATTCAGGATGTTAAAATGACATCGTGGGCGAAGGAAATGATATTATCTTTTTGTCAACAACATATATAATTTTTTTATTTTTTTGCTGTAGGATAAAAAATTTAAGAGACAAATATTTTTTTTAATTTTTTTAATAAATGTAAAACTTTTGTCTGTAGCGATTAGGCTTCCAAGAGTTATCATATTTCGAATGAGTGCTTCCATCGAACTTTGTTTTCGAGAAATATTTTTTACCAACTGAATTTTATCGACCGCACGTAAACGTAATAAATTATCAGTTGGATGACTAATACAAAAATATTTTCGAGGTTTTTATTTAATTAATCAAACAATATTTACTATTAAAATTAATCAATTTATTATTCTGTTATAAATACATTTTTTTTTTTTTTTTCGTTTTAAATATAAAAGTTATTTTGTATGAATATTATTAGTAAAAAACTATTCTTAAATTTAATAAATTTCATACAATGTATATATATTTATTAAAAATGTATCAATATTCAAGCATGTTTGTAAATTTTTATGTCATGGAATGTTATTTATTAATGTTTATATGTCTAAAGATAATTATTTATGTTAATATAAATTTATTCGAAATAATAGTGTTAGTAAATGATAAATGATAACAAATAAATTAATGAATTAAAAAATAATTTTTAAGCTCGATCATTGATGTTATTAATAAATTATTGTTCTATTTTTAATTGAATAATGATCGCTCATAATATATTGCTATAATAAAATCAGTTAAAAAAATATTCGTAAAAAAAACTTAAGTTAGGTGCTTGTTATTTTTTTTTTTACAAAAATAGAACAATTTACAAAACTATTTGATCAAATAATAAAGCTACTGCATCAAGCAATAGAAAAAAAATAATGCGATTTCCAAGTAGCTAGAAATTATTTTCCATATTCCTCATACTAGGTGCTGGAGTAAGACGTGGTGTACGCGGTGTGCTGGTTAACTTAGTAGCCAGATCTCTATTACCAGGAGTAACAGCCGGAGTATTCGGGGAGTGTTTACGCGATGGCTTGATCGGTGTTGCAGGTTGTCGTTTAACTTTACGAGGTTCACTAGTTTCCATCAAAAGTGTACTTCTGAGATCTTCCCTTTGCTCCAAATGTTCTTGAAATTGTTCATATTTATCCATGCTGTTTGTTGAGTCGCCAATATTTATGACTTTGTTTGTGGTGGTGAGATTTCTTCTTGGCGACTTCCTGGGAGATTTCCCCATACTTTTATTGCTGTTGTCTGAGATAAGCTTTCTCGCCACCTGAAATAAATAGAGTAAATTAAATAATCATATAGTTAATGATTTTTCAATGAAACAGAGATAAAGAAATAAATCCGAACTTTTAATTGCCCACTATGACGTATTTTAGAACCACATACTTTGGCTGGTCGGACATTCTCGCTGTTCGACGTCATGCGAGGCTTTGTTACTCGAGTAAAAGGCGAGTGATCTGACAATTTACGCTTAATCGATGTGTTTGAGCGCAAGTTTTTGGCTGAAACTGGCGTACGACGGGATGTGCTGAGGACACCAGGTGTTCGGCGAGACACACTTAGACCAGTGCGAGGTGTTCTTCTGGAGGCACTCAATGGTGTCTTTTTCAAATTATTTTTCTCGTCTTTCGCTTTAGCCTGACATAAACCAAACGAAAACACAAAAATAAAAAAATAAACATAAACATATACAATCGTGGTCATTAATTAAAGTATGTTTTTAAGTTTACTGGAAAATAGCCATTTGTAAACTATCAATTTGAAAATTAGTTGATAATATGTCGTTTGTAAAATTAGTCGCAAATAAAAAATGATATTAATGAAATTAGCTAAATGAAAATTTCACAAAATATAAATTCAGTCATTTATATTTTTGCTTTTCGCTACTTTATAAATGACTGAATTTATATTTGGTGAAATTTCTAATTTGCTAATTTCATTAATATCATTTTTTATTTGTGACTAATTTTACAAATAACATTATCAACTAATTTTTAAATTTTGAGTTAATAAACGTTCTAGTTTAAAAACTGCTATATTCCAGTAAACTTAAAAACATGCTTAAATTAATGACCGCGACTGTACATAAACATAAACAATAAGACAATAAGACAATACTAACATATACTAAACGACAATCTATTAATGCATTTCCTAAAAAATCGAGACTAGAATATTGTATTTAATTAAAATTAAATTACCGTTTCAACTTTCAGCTTTTCCAGTTCAACTTTCTGGTTTTCGTATTCTTGTTCTATGTACTGGTCTATTGTCAATCCATAAACTCTAAACAGTTTGCGGTGTTTTTTTTCATACTCATCTGTCATTTCCTTTAATTGATTAACAAGTTTTGGCAAGTTCTAAAAGAAATTTGTATTTTTATTATTAATATTTCTCAACAGTAAAAACATTTTTTTTTTAATAAAAAATTTACCTTGTTACAGGCTTTGCGAATTTTTTCATCCGCAAGCAGTTGACCTCCACGATTGTGAAAACGATCTGGATCTTCAGAACGGCGTTGAATTTCTTTCATCTGACCCCACGTCTCTTCCCACTTTTCTAATAAATCAAAAATTTTTTTATTCTCTTCATAGTGGTGTCGAAGTCTTTCTAACTCGATTTCGTGAATCTTTAACATGTCTTCGGTGTAAATTTGTGAGTTGAAAAATCGGAACTCATCACGTTCTTCCTGACTCAGTTTGCAGACCTCCCACCAATGCTGGAGATCTTCGCGCAATTTCACAATAAACTTTGAAATATTTTCTAAGCGCAATTCTTGCATTCGCTTTATTTCTTTTTGTAACTAAAAATTAATTTACTATTAGATATTTATAATTTTAAAAATATATTAATAAATTTTGATTACTTACAGCATTAAGAGTAGGAATATCATAACCCGAATGGACGGCAAGAAATTCTCGGCATTTTTTTTCTGGAATATCCAAAAATTTCCAGAGTTTAATCAGTTCTTGACGTTTATTTTTGGCATCTTCTTTAGCTGCCCTGAGCTGCTCTTCGATGTCACTGTGCAACTCCCGTAATTTTCTCATATTGCTTGTGGAGAAAATGAAATTTTCGTAATCAACACAAACTAAGTTTTCAAATTCATGTGTTGGTACGTGAGACATCTCGTTCATCATAGCCATAATAGCGAGCCGCGTTTCTTTGAAAGTCGTTTTATGTGCAATTAATTCAGCCTCTTGCTTAGCTAACTTTGACTCAAACTGCATCAACTCCTCCTCACTTGGTACATTTTTAACCAGACCCAAACGTTGAACTCCCAATGCTTCACAAACCTTGGTCTCCTGGCAAATTAAAAACAAATTAATTCATATTTTTCCACAACTTAACTAGTATACTTACTCTTTCGATCAATTTATCTGCCTGAGAGATACGCTTATCTTTTATCTCCTCCAAGTGCTTTAATTTTCTCTGTAAACTTGCTACAACTTCAATCAACGGTTCCGTAGGAGGATTATCACGATCTGACTCATCTATATCCAGTTCCTATTAATTAGTAATTGCATAAAATGATTACTGAAATTTTATCGACAAGAGCTTGGATGGTATCAAAAACCTACCACTTCCATAGCTTTAATTTTTTTACTGATTATTTTGATCTCACGAATTATTGCACACTTTCGGCTTTCGGCTTCACTTATCATATCAACTAATAAGTCCTGTAAAATATTTTTAATAAAATTTATCACTCAGATTTTTTTAAAATAAATTATATTAAAAATAACAGACCATCTTAGTCTTTATAAAATAAATATGTCAAAAAAATGTGCCTAAAAATTTTTACATTTATTAGAAAAAATTTTAGTAATTATTTACAAGTGGGGTCAATCCCATTTTGGGCCATAACTAGGTGAAAAATTAACATTTTCAATTTTTTTTTACTCTGCTTGTTTTTACGGCGCATTTATGATAAAAATTTTTTGCCATTCGGCTCTGGCCTTGGCATACAATTAATAAATAAATAAATAAAAATGTCGTGAAAGGAAAAAATAAAGATTTTAATAGTTTTTTTGCCTTTAAAAGCTGGAAAAAATTTTGGCTTTCATATTTTTGAATAAAATTTATATTTTATATTTATTTTTTTGAAAAGTACATAAAAAAACAAACAATTTAAAATAAAAATTGATCAAAAAAAAAATTTAACATGAGCTAACATAAATTGACCCTACTTGTAAATAATTACTAAAGTTTTATTTACTTTCCAGGCATATAAATTAAATAATTTTTTTTTAATATGTAATATATCAGTTATATCTACTGATATAAAATTTTAACATAAAAATACATCGCATACCTCTATATGATCATCTACATTTTTGCTATACTCGGATATCATTCTCTCATCATAACCACACTGACGCCAGATTTTAAACAACTCAGGTATTTTGACTTGAATTTTTTTGCATAACTTCTCCAACAGCTCCTTCCTGTCGACAGAAAAAATAAAACAATAAATAATTATTAGACATTTTATTTATAGCTAAAAAATTATTAATACGCAGCCGGTTAATGACAATGAACACAACCAAGCTCTGACGCTTACTTAGTTATTAAATCACTCATTTTGAAGTAACTTTGAATTTACACACAGTTCAGGATCAACTCTCAAAACTTTAATTCACTGATAAACTACACAATTATTTATTTAACATTCCTGGTGATGAAACTTACAAGAGGAATACCTGATGTAAATTCACCTGTCTAACCACGCACATCAATATATAACCGTTTCTCAGCGTTCTAGTCTACAGGTACAAACGTTTTTCTTTTGAATTCAACCTCTAAGTCATTTGATTGGTCAAACACTTTTTTTGTTTTTTAACAAAACCTGGACAACTGTCACGCCAGCTTGCAGCCGCATTGAAACTAAAAATTGTTTCTCTCTTTTGTGATTGGTAAGGAAGAAATTTTCTTTGAAAAAATAAATTACCGCCCGACAAGCGGAGAAGAAGCAGCACAAACTAATTCCATAGTTGAGCAGCAGCAAGAGAGGAGTTTTTGTCAAGTAGGTGCCCAAATCTTTGATATTTAGTTGATTACTGCCTCAGTGTTTCACTAACATTCACTATTACCAATAAACGTGATACGTGCTATATAGGATATATCTAAGTCGTATAAAAACTGTGGCGGTGATCCCCTGTAGGCTGATACATTCTTATGATATCGTACATATAAGAGATCTTACAGAAATAAAACGCAAATGTAAGTATTTTGAATAAATTCACTGAATAATATTACACTAACCAAATATATTTATAGTAAATTTATTAATATATTTATTTACATGTATATTACTCAATCAATTGTAAGTTTTATCATGTCAATCCGCGGCCCTTGTGGTTGCCAAAATGTCCAATTTCGTGATTGCAGTGAACATGCATTGTCACGGACTTTGTTATTTATTTTTTAATTAAGTTAAAAAAATTTTTTTATGACATTCTGTCACACGTCATATATTAAAATGTGTGTGTGTGTGTGTTTTTTTTTTAAATTTGTTATTTTATTAGAAGAAATAATTATATCAAGTGTACATAACCCTTGAGTACTTAATTCTTTAATATACTACTTGATACGCGGGAGGCCTGAAATTTTTTTTTTATTTTTGTTAATTAATTAATTAATTAATTGTAATTTATTATTTCAGATGTCGACTGGACCTCAACACAAGTATCGTTACAAAAATGTGGGCTTGGACTCGCAGGAATTACGTCGTCGTCGCGAGGAGGAAGGAGTACAGCTTCGTAAACAAAAGCGGGAACAACAGTTATCTAAAAGACGCAACGTTCCAGCAATTGTCCCCGATGAAGAAAGTATTACGGCAACTGAAGATTATCCTGTTCTAGCACCTCTACCGGTATTTTTTTATTTCATTATGAAAATTAAGTTGGCTGACATTTCAAAATTTTTAGAAAAATTTTCAATTAAACAATTAAAAAAAAAAATATCACATGTTTAAAACTTGAAAAACTATAAGTGCAATTTTTTTAAAATATCTTTTTAGTTGGAATTTAATTAAAAAAAAAAAATCAAAAATTTTTAGACATCTACTAACTTCAATGTCATATTTTATTTTTTTTAAGTTATAATACTAAAGTTACGCGATTCATGTTTTAATTTTGATTTTTTTTTAATAATTAAATTAAAGCAAAAAAATATTTTTAAAAAATTGCACTTTAAGTTTTTTACAAGTGAAATTGAAAAAAAAATTTTTTTGTAATAATTTTTTTAATAAGAAAAAATTATTAAATGTCGGCTAACTTCATTTTTATTTTTAAGTTATGTAATTTAAAAATAACGTACTAATTTAAAATAAATTGAATTAACAGCCACCACAGCCGGTGATAACTAAAGAAATGGTAGAAGCTCTGTACAGTAATAACATAGAAGATCAGGTAGCAGCAACGCAAAAATTCCGTAAATTACTGTTATAATACTAAAGTTAGCCGACGTTTTTAATTTTGATTTTTTTTTAATAATTAAATTAAAGCAAAAAAATATTTTTAAAAAATTGCACTTTAAGTTTTTTACAAGTGAAATTGAAAAAAAAATTTTTTTGTAATAATTTTTTTAATAAGAAAAAATTATTAAATGTCGGCTAACTTCATTTTTATTTTTAAGTTATGTAATTTAAAAATAACGTACTAATTTAAAATAAATTGAATTAACAGCCACCACAGCCGGTGATAACTAAAGAAATGGTAGAAGCTCTGTACAGTAATAACATAGAAGATCAGGTAGCAGCAACGCAAAAATTCCGTAAATTACTGTCCCGAGAGCCAAACCCTCCAATAGATGAGGTCATACAGACGGGTATTGTTCCACGGTTTGTTGAGTTTTTGAAAAATGATTCAAACTGTACGCTGCAATTCGAGGCAGCATGGGCATTGACGAATATTGCCAGTGGTACTTCACCCCAGACACATATGGTTATCGAAGCTGGAGCAGTACCTACGTTTATTGGATTACTCAGCTCGGCTTACGAGGACGTACAGGAGCAGGCTGTCTGGGCTCTCGGCAATATCGCTGGCGACAGTCCAGAATGTAGGGATCATATACTCAACAGTGGAATTCTTCCACCCCTACTTCAGTTACTTTCCAAGACCACTAGGCTCACCATGACACGTAACGCCGTTTGGGCATTGTCTAATCTTTGTCGTGGCAAGAATCCGGCTCCAGTTTTTCAAAAAGTAGCGCCATCCCTGCCCGTATTGGCTCACCTTCTAAATCACACGGACTTTGATGTACTTGCTGATACTTGCTGGGCACTGTCATACCTCAGTGACGGCCCGAATGAAAAAATACAAGCTGTCATTGACGCTGGAGTCTGTCGTCGACTTGTAGAGCTTCTTATGCACGAGCAACATAACGTCGTCAGTGCAGCACTTCGAGCTGTTGGGAATATTGTCACCGGCGATGACATTCAGACCCAAGTCGTTCTTAATTGCTCAGTGTTACCATGCTTGTTACATCTGTTGAATTCCTCTCGCGAAAGTGTCAGGAAAGAGGCTTGCTGGACTGTGTCTAATATTACCGCAGGAAATCATCAACAAATTCAAGTAATTTTTTTTTATTTATTGAGCTATTAATCTGTTAAATTTAGATTTTATGAGTGATCGTATTTATACTTGATAATTAATTTTTAGTCATTGATTATTAATAATGAATTTTTAATACAGGCTGTGATTGATGCTAATATTTTCCCCGTATTGATTGACATACTTGGAAAAGCTGAATTTAAAACTCGTAAAGAAGCTGCTTGGGCAATAACTAATGGAACGAGTGGCGGTACACCAGAGCAAATTCGTTACTTAGTTTTACAGGGCTGTATTCCACCGCTTTGCGATTTGTTAACTGTAATGGATCCTAAGATAGTACAAGTCGCGTTGAATGGGTTGGAAAATATTCTCCGACTTGGTGAACAAGATTCCAGTCTTCACAATGGTGTTAATCCTTACACAGTGATAATTGAAGAGTGCTATGGTAAATTTTATTTTTTGTTCAATTCAATTTGAAAATTTTATTCAAGCTTTTCTGTTTGCGTCCTCGAGCTTATAAATCTATATTATTAAGAGAATAAGAAAAATATTTTAGCCAGTGTATTTATATGATAAAATTGGTTTTTATGGTTAAATTTGGTATCGTTAAAAAAGTCTTGACCTGGAGTTGTACCTTTTCATGGTTTCATATCATTCTCACCAATAGTCAATTTATAATAATAAGTATTTAGGCAGCATTCGAAAATTCTCTGTCTTTAGATACATAATTAAGAAATGACCTTGTATCTTGTGAACTATTGACATTTTTAAAGATATAAGCTCATTCTGATGTTACTCTCATCAAGACCTTTCATTTGAGTACCCACATCAATTTTTCATATATTTATATATATTATATATATATGTATATATGAAAATGCATGTGGGTACTCAAATGAAAGCTCTTGATCAGTGTAAGATCGGGATGAGCTTATATCTTTAAAAACGTCAATAGTTAAAAAAGTACAGTGCCATCTAACAAAAGTCAATATTTATTAAAGCAAAATTTTATTTATTTATAGTTGTAAGGTTGTTAGTGTTTTGTTAATCATTTTCGGTACCTAATTTCGTTAAGTGTAGTCCCTACAGTAGTGAAAAGGTTAATTTGTACATCGTATTGCTCTCAATGGTATAATATGAAAATACTAATTACTTATCTCTAATTAGCTGGATGGTAGAGTAGTTTCTCATTCGCGTTATTATTACCTTTGCAAGTTTTAATTTATAAAGAATTTGTTTACAGGAATTTTTATTACGATTAAAATATAAGTACTCGAGTGAAGTAGACTGAAAATGCTTGAATTACTTCAATGTAATTTAATTAAAAAATAACTTTGTTATTTTTAATTCAAAGTACATACATTAAGAATTTTATAATTGTAAGATTAATTAATATATTTGATTTTATAGGCCTAGATAAAATAGAATTTTTGCAATCACATCAAAATATGGAAATTTATCAAAAGGCGTTTGATATAATTGAACGTTACTTTGGTTCTGAAGAAGAAGATTCACGATGTGCACCATCAGTCGATGCACAAGGCCAACAATTTCAATTTAATGCCGCTGATTCATCACAATTGCCAGTTCAAAACTTCCAATTTTAATTTCGCATGTGCATGATGATTAAAAAAAAAAAACCATTTTAATAACAACAATAACAAAAACACCACGTGTTTACAAGTTACAGAGTTCATCCTTTCCAATTTTATTCGAAGAGTATAATATCGTATCATTGAGACGAACGCTAACTTGGATTTGAAAACGTGATAATTATATGGTTTGCGGAGATCATTGTTTTCGACGTTAACTCTCACAGATAAATTTGTATTTCGTCGAAGAAAATCTAAAAAAAAAAAAAAAAAAAAAAAAAAAAAAAAAAAAAATCTAACAAAGAAAGACAATGATAAGAGCCGTCAATAGTACCCTATACAGAATAATTTTTATTTAATTAATAATATTTTTTTGTGTTTATTTTTATTATCACTTGTTTTCTAATCTTCTTAGCCAAAATATATACTGTATGAAAATAGGAATACACAATATAAAGAAAAAAAAATTTTAGACTCTACATCCAGTAGAAATTACTTTCAAAAAAACTCTTTTATTATAATTTTTATTTTATCGGCAATGGAACAAAAATCGAAAATCAATACTACACATTTAGTTTAAGATTTTTAACAAAAATACATGAATAAAGATGCTAAATTACTACAAACAGATAAACAAACATAAATATTTAACAAAGGAAACAACTGCCGTAAAAAACACTCCGGACAGAATGTAACTTGTTTGACATAGACTGATGATGCGTATTCACGAGTAATTGAAAAAATATAAAATTAAAAAGGACTTCTTCAATGACTTTTAATGCGACGTACGTATTGACATACCTATTATTATTAATATACATGACTAACTATAACTACTAAGTCGATACGATAAACTACGCTACGTAATAACGGATATATCTTCATTAGTTAGATACTTTAACGACCAAATTAAAGAAAATTTTTTACTGTAAATACGAAAATATCGTGATTTAAAGAAGGAATTTTTTATACAGATTATCTGCGATATTAATCTCGCTTTTATTTTATTATTTATTGCTGATTTCATTTTTCTATAACATGACATGATTTTTTGAAGCGATAATAATAAAGGCAATCTGAAAATAATAAAATTTATTGAGATTGAAATATTAAATTTTATGAAGTAACTTTAATTCCAATAAAATTTATTTGCAATAAATCGTAGATACTCTGTATAAAAAAAGCCAGAGACTGTATAAAATGTATTTATTATTTAGGTTTGACGTTATATCATTACTATACTTATTATAAAGAAGAAGCCTATTATTACTATTATGTATACAATTATATTTTTTAGTTATGTGCTTTGTCGACAACAATAAGTCGATTCTCATTGCCAATTTATGTATAAAAAAATAACAAATATATTTTATAAGATTAATCAATTAAAGATAGATATAATATAACGACATAAATTGCCAATCAAATAGTGATAACTATTTTTTATTTATACAATTGAATTTAATCCTGAATAATGGCGATAAAATTGTGCTGGGTAATTTTTTTTTGTATATTTTTTTAATTTAAACCATTATCGTTTAAAATTATTTTTATTTAGAATCATTAATAATTAAATTTATTGGTACCATAAATTGGCAATGGACTAAACTGACAGAGTGATTGAAATTATAAATATTGTCGTGAAACAATACGGGGACTGTTGACTGCTACATCAAACGATTATACAAATACAAATACATAAAATAATGATAATTAATAATGTACAACAATTATATTATTTTTAATGAGATTTCTCTCGTTAAATTTCAACAAACAACTGAACATAAATTATACATCACTCGAGTCAATAACACGACATTTTATTTTTCATAATAATAAAACTAATAGGATAAAATGTATTATTGAAAGAATTTTAAAAATATTTAAAAGAAAAAGAGAATAAATTAAGCAATCCTCGTAGTAAAGGTTTTGTTTGTTCCTTCAATGTATTATTTCGTATAAAGATGAAAATAAAAATTTAATAATTTCGAAATATTTGTAAAAAAAAGAATTATTACCACACTTCACAATTTTTATTGTAAATTTACGAATAAGTTATTACAAAAAAATATTTAATTTTCAAAAAGTTTAAAAATATATAGTAAATTACAAAAATAATATGAGTAGATTATAATACTATATATATTTACATAAATTTCTTCAATAACGTAAAGGACAACTTTTAAAATCTGGTTCTGGTTGAACCGGAATAATGACACCGTCTGTCAGTCTAGTAATCAATGGATCAACTTTATCTTGATCTATTTGATTGTTTAATTTGAGTTTCAGCTGATTTTCAACGAATATCAACGCATTTTCTTTTTTTCCATCATATCCTTTTGCTACCATTGTGAGTATATAAACAACTTTTGTAACCAAAGGCGTCTCTCTGTCACATAAATGATGAAAATCCATCATCGCATCTGGATTTACATCTAATATATTATCAACAATCTAAAAATATCAAAATACATATGCAAAATTAATAATAATAATTATTATTCTACAGAAGCAGAAAAAGTCAATACGTACCACAATTTTCTGACTCGTTATTTTATTTTTAAATTTATCAATCACATATCCCCGATCTTTACCCAGTTGCGAAGGAGACAGCATCAGCTCTTCCGAAGAACCCAAAGCAGCTTTGGTAGCATTCCCTATCATTTTAGCGAGACAGTTCATAAGATAATCATCTTGAGAAAATAAAAATATAATCCCCAATTTATCTGGATGCTTGACAACTTCAGAAACTCCTGCAATTATATCATCCCAAATCTCATCATCCTGTTGCTTGAATTTATTGCTAATACTATCGATATTATTCTCCAAGTTTCTGATAAGAACAGTTTCAGGATCCGTATCTTTGAATTTTTCTGTACTGTTACCAATTGATAACAATGGATATGATGGATAAGCAACAATGGCAAGGGCAAATAATACAACAACAAATGCTATGATAAAATAATATTTTTTTTTAGAATCATTTTGTTTTTTACTTGGTGAATTATTAGAGGTTTCAGTTTTGACCACTTTAGGTTCCTTGGCAAAATTTTTTTTGATATCTCGAGTATCATGATCAAATTTCTTTGAAAATTTTGGCGAATGTAATTCTTCATGACTTAACGCTAAATCATTTGGCGCATCATCAGCTTCATCTTCGCCCAGAGAATCAGAGTCTTGATAATCTTTTGAATTATTTACTTCTAATTCTTCATTACTTGGCTCCTCACCTACGGACGCAGTTTTTTGTTTTACTGGCTTCGCTTTCATCATGCGTGGTAAAGGTGGCCGCGGGCTTGGAACTTTTGGTGCAAATCTCTTGTCAGTAACTCCAAACTAAAATTATATTACTTTATTAGCAAGTACTCTGAAATTAAAAAAAAAAAGAAAATTATAACATACAAAAATTTTACTTTTTTAGTGGTGTAACTCATTATTTACAAATATACATTAATTTACAATAAATTATATTAAAAATTAATTAAAATAAATGACAGGTTATTTTGTCGAGTAATGATTCACAATTAATGAAATTGGAATTACCAGACATTTAACAATTATTTTAATTAATTAAATTATAACTAAAAAAATATTTTAAAAAATTGCACGTATTGTTTTTTAAATTTTACACATGTGGAATTTTTTTATTATAAATTTTTCAATAAGAAAAAATTGTATAATGTCTGCTGATTTTATTTTCATTCATTATCAAAATACCATTAACCTTGAGAATAATTCCCAAGAATTTATAAGTAATTGTAACACAATTATTCAGTAAAAAATTGCCACGAGTTGAGTATTGCTCATTGTTACCAACTTTATGAAGGAAATTAAAAATATTGACACTGAGTTGAATGATTTGATAGCACCTGGAATATATTGAATGCAACACAATACATGGAATAAAATAAAAACATAAATATACCAACAATGTTTGTAATAAATTTTTGAGTAAACGTGACAACCTGGTATTGAATGGTGCGGATATTTATTAAATTGAGGAGTTATTTTAGCTGATAACAAATGTGTACGGGTCCATTTAGAAAAATATTCCATTGGGGACCACTTACTGCCTTGGGTAGGTCTTGCTTTTTTATGTCAATATCAATTTTACTATATCGTCTTCTTTAACTTGATTAATTAAAACCAATTTTACTGCAATACTTAACATACAAATAATTGTTGTATAATTAGATTAATTATTTATGGTCACACGTAAATAAAATATAATATTATTAACCGAAAAAATTCCGGCGAAGTAATCTCTAAGTTAACAAACATCTGTTCTCTGTAGTGGTAACATTGACAGCTGAGTTGTTTTTATTTTTCCACGAGCGGGAATATTTGAATTTATTTTCTTATTTTTGTTTTAGCAATCATCAAAATAATCACCACTATGACAATTTACTGCAGTAGACAATGGTGGTCCCCGAAAGAAGGTTTTTTAGCAGCCGCTAATTTTTTATTATTTTTTAGTTTAAGTGGATCTACTATTTATCATTTTATGAGTGCCATATATGAAGGTCCAGGATATTTACCATTAGGATGGAGGCCTGTAAGTATAATGACACTGAAGTTGATAGACATTAGAATTTTTTTATAATTTTATAGCAATTAAATTATTAAGAAAAAATTTAATTAAAAAAATTCCATATGTAAAAATTAAACAAAAATTACAATAAAGTTAGCCGACATTTTTTATTTTGCCTATTTATTAAATTAGAACTAAAAAATATATATTTTTTAATTGCACTCACAATTTTTCAAATTTTCTGCATGTCAATTTTTTTTTTTTTAATTTTTTGCAATAATTTTCTTCAATAAAAAAAATTGTAAAAATTGGAAATTTTTAAAAGTCTTATTTTTATTGTAATTTATTTGTTATAAAAAGTAAAAAAAATTGACAGTTGTTAGTTAACTTCAGTAACATGACGTACATACATTCAATTTTATGAACTAATTCAAAATTAATTGCATCATTTTTACTTCAAATAATTGATAAACATTTCTAGCTCCAGTTTATACAAGTGTAATAAAAATTTGTTTTTATTATTATTGATGCAGTTTGATAATAATATTGGATCAAGTTTTATTGACAAGCTTAAAAAAACTAAATTCTTATTTGATCTACTTCAATTTTTTTTTTAATAATACACAGAGTAGATACTTGTACAGTCAACCTGTGCCAAATTTCATTCACTCAAGTGATTTTTATTCAATAATATCTATTTCGCAAAATAATATTCTTCGTTTGAAGAAGACATCTAAAAAAAGAAAAAAAAAAGCTGACTCAAGAATTTTTCAAGTGTTCTTTTGTAGTGATCCGTTTAGTTATTTTAAGTTGCTGAATATGACTTTATACCAGCAATTAGATAGAGTGAAATTAGTAAAAGCTTTTTGAATATTGATTTGACTTAAAATATTCGAGTTCCGCTAAAATTTCAACACACTTGGAATTACTAAAAATATTTAAATCATACCGGTACCATGTCTATCTAATCGAAAATGCCAGCTTCGAGTATCTGATTTTCATAAAAAACTGAATGTTTTGCTTGAGAATTTATTGCTGTAATTAATTTTAATCACTCATAAAAACAAATCGGAAATTTTGCAAAAATATGAACTTTGCGAAATTGATGACCAGCGAAGCAAACGAGGATATTACTCTGCAAATATTGAACTTGGATAGAATTACCTATCAAACTCTGACGTGTATAAAATATTGACCATTTGCATCGGAACGGTCAGTATTAGATTGTTCAGTAATCATTGGGTAAATTGGAGCTTGAATTGAGATGTGACTATTTACTGAAGTGAAAATGTTTCAAGTAGTTTACCAACATCGCTATTAATTAATATTATCAATAATAATAATAATAATTAATACTAACTAGCAACCTTGTAGTCACTATGTGACTGCCTCGACTTGTGAATTATAAATAAATAAAAATAAGCTTTATTAAATAATGACTTTTGTTAAATTGCACTGTACTTTCATTTGAGTACCCACATGCATTTTCATATATTTTTCATATATACATATATATATATAATATATATAACTATATGAAAAATTGATGTGGGTACTCAAATGAAAGGTCTTGATGAGTGTAATATCGGGATGAGCTTATATCTTTAAAAATGTCAATAGTTCACAAGATACAATGTAATTTCTTAATTATGTATCTAGAGATAGAGCATTTTTGAATGCAGCCTAAATACTTATCATCATAAATTGACTATTGGTGAGAATGATATGAAACCATGAAAAGGCACAACTACAGGTTAAGACTTTTCCAACGATACCAAATTTAACCATAAAAACCCATTTTATCATATAAATACACCGGCCACAAAATTTTGTTTATTCTCTTAATAATATAGTTTAATTTTTTGCAGGAAAATATAAATGATACAAAGTATTTACAATATTGTAACGTTTGCGAAGGCTATAAAGCACCGAGGTCTCATCACTGCAGGAAATGTAATGCATTATTCAAATACAAATTCAAATAGCATTACCGTACATATTTATGAGCTGTCGCATGATGAATTGTACCAAAAACTCACATATCCTATCGACATAACTAACTCTAATCTTTTAGGTGGCCGATGTATATTAAAAATGGATCACCATTGTCCGTGGATAAACAATTGCGTTGGTCATTACAATCACGGATACTTTACAGCTTTTTTAGCAAGCGCCGTAGGTGGTTGTTGCGTCTCAACATTCATTTTAGTATCATGGTTGTTAACAGTAATTACCCGTAGAAATTACACTTTCCCATCGCCGTCTGTATTCACACTGATACTAGTAGTCTTCACAATTGGGCTGTCCATCGGCGTTGTCTTCGCTGTGGGTATGCTGCTTTACATACAATTGTCAGCAATATTACGCAATACAACGGGAATTGAAGATTGGATTCTCGAGAAAGCCAAATACAGAAGATTTGGCACGGATGACGTATTTATTCATCCGTATTCTAAGGGACGGTTGTTCAACATCAAGCAGGTACTCAAGTGGCACTGTACGCCTGAAGGCGATGGCATTGTTTGGCCAGTCCGCGAGGGATGTGATCAATACACTCTTACTGTAAGTATCTCTTGCTCATATAATAAACTGAAAAATAAAAAAAAAATGTAATTTTTAACTCTAATTAAATTTTAACAATAAAATTTAAAAAAAAATAATGGAGGAAAAAAAGATGCAGTACGTGTCCAATTAAAGAAGAAAGAAGTACTTGACATTTATATTTTTATTTTTATTTATATTTAAAGGTAGAACAAGGATATCAAAAACTAGAAAAGCGAAAACGAGCACGAAGATATCGTGTTGTAAGTAATGTATCTGGCTCGTGGGTACCTGTCACTTATGGATGGTGTGTTGTATGTCATCCACCTTGTACAGATGAACCTAGAATAAAACTTAGCGTTGGTGATACAGTTATTGTGACACGTTGGCGGAAGTATATATTTTTTAATTTTTTAAATAACTAGAACAAGATGACACTAGATATCATTCCAGATTATACTGAGTGAAAAAAAATTTCAGATAGTACGGCTGCCCAATTTTAAAACTCCAAAATTTTTATACCTGATTTTTTTTAGTATTGCTGCATTTCTTATAACTTTTAGACCTTAATTTCAAGTATTCTTTCTTGAAATTGTTTATATTCAAGTATTTTCTATTCATAAATAAAATTTTTTATCAATTAGGCACGCAAATTTTTTTTTAACAAAAAAAATTTTAAAAAATCTTAAAATTGTCAGTATAATCTGGATTTTTTTAGTTACTATCTAAAAATTTTTTTCACTACAGACATCACTGAGTAAAAGCTGGAATGATATTCAGTATCATCTTGTTCTTTCCGTGCAATTGATTTGATAAATTAATTGTTTTATTATTTTTAATAGATACTGGCTGTTTGGAGAAAAACAAGATACGATTGGAGACCCCAAGAAGAGAATAAGAGGATGGTTTCCACATTCGAGTGCCATCGAGGTCGTGGAGAATGGTAGAAATATACCGACAGATTTGAAGGACGACTAAAAACTATCATCGATTCACCTCGAGATTAGTTTAGAGGATCTGTGTGTTACATAAATCCAAACTCGCACATAAAAATACTGTACAATCCTAATTATTATTTATATATACATTTTTAAATCGTCACGTTAGCACTTTTTTTTTTTTTTTTTTTATTTTATTTCTTACTGTAATTTTTATTTTATTCTGTATAATTATAAAAAGTCTATATGAGAAGCTGTAAGTGCAATTACATGAAGTCGAGTTATAATGACGCATAATTCGTGTTCCGTAAATCGGATCCTACTCAAGGATTTATGGGAGGACGTTGATACTTTGTATGAATGGTTACCAAGTCATTTTTTTAATTTCTTTTATTTCTTTGTACTCTATCCGATGTGTAAAATATTATACCGAGCCGTCAATTTTTTTTTGCCTTGGAATATTTCTTTGATATGATCTTACGCTCATTACTTTGTGGAATTAAATATAAAATATTAATAATGTTTGTCTGGAATGTTACTATCTTCATTATTAATAATATGACTTGAATGATGATTGTTACTTATAAAAATTGGAGATTGACATGAAGATAAATTTGCGATGAGTATTAAAATATATAAAATGGTTATGAGAGTTGTGTGTATGGATAAAATATTTTATAAACAACGAGAGCTCTGGGATAAGCTACGGTACAGTGGAAAATCAATATAGGTGTATAAAAAAGCACGTCGAAAGCTTGAGAGCGAGAAAGACAGCCGCAGTTAGGTCAAAGAGAATGAACGCGATACATACATACGCGTATGTATGCACGCGTATATGAATTTACTCTGGCGCGTGCAAAATATAGTTTAGAATAAACCTGGTAACATGCAATACAATCGGATGTCACGCAAACCTATATGCTTATCCATTTTAACGCAAGCTCTCATACTAATAAGACAACAAAAGTTCAGATCTATCGTCAACTAAACTACGTGCTCTTTGTATGCGCACGAATAAGTACGGATAATTTGTCCCAGATATTTATTTATTCCCATGTAACATCTTATCACTCTTATTGATTCTTGATAATGTGTTTTTGTCACATCATTTAAAACGTGATCAAGGCAACCGTAAATTTACTATTTTTATTTTTATTCTACAATAAAATCCTGTTAAAAATTATTGTCCGCCTACGGTTAAGCGCACTTTAAAACTTCTGGCCTGTACTGGAGTTTTTACAAACTTTTTGATCATCAGAAAATTTAAATTTTATCTGTTTTGTTTCGCATAATTTAGTTTAATACCCTAAAACTTTTAAATTATTTAACATTTCTTTTCTGAATTATTAAAAGTAAACATTGTTTTGATTTTTTTATTGCTTTTTATGAAAAAAATTATTCGTGGAAAATATTTTCCACTGAAGCTATAAATTTTTATACTCTTGTATTAAATTATCATAAATGTTCTGCTAATATTGTAAATTGTAATTATTTTTTAATTAAAACCTCACTAAAGTTACCATACAAGGTCTTATTAATTATCAACATTTATTTTAATAGCTTAACAAGAATGAAATATATTTTTAAAAAGTTAAATGTATAAAAAACTACAATTTAATTTATCTTTTCACAATTGTATTGTAACCCATAAAATTACGTCGATATTGTATTGAAAGTTGGATGTCAATAGAATGGATAGAGAAATTTCTCAACTGTTGAAAGCTACTGCATATAAATTATGTTATAATGATCATCATTGTTTGTCATAATAGATTGATTAAGCTCATTGTTACACTAGTGGTCAATATTAAACAATATATTTTTATTTGTCATGATCATGAGCAAATAATTTTAACTATGAAAACTAATTAAGATGACATTAATTAAAAAAATTTTTTTTAACATTAAATTTGTTCCAAAAAATTATTTTTGAAAAATTGCACTTTTAATTTTTAAAAATTTCTACATGTCAATTTTTTTTTATAATTTTTTTTGCCATAATTTATTTGTTAAAAAAATTCTTAAAACTATCAAATATCTGCTAAATTAATTTTTATCTAATTGTAAAAATAATAATAATTGTAAAAAATTTTTTGACAAATAAATTATGGCAAAAAAACAAGTGACATGTAGAAATTTTAAAAAATTAAAAATGCAATTTTTTAAAAATAATTTGGAACAAATTTATTTGTCAAAAAAAAAAAAAAACTAGAAAATAATCAAGTGACTGCTAACTTTAATGTCATTTTTAACTGACCAATTAACTTCCTATGTTAATAATAAATATATAATTGTACGTACAACTGTAATTATAAATTCAAACGACAAACTTGCGTGTGCTGGAATCGATGCAAGACATTAGGAGTAGGTAAGAAACATTCAGCAACCCTGGAATTGATACAACAAATAAGTTGTCATGCGAGTTCAATATATACAAGGTTTCAATGAAGAATAGTCTGGTGGTGTGTCTCGGATAAGGACTCATATCAAGTAATGTAAAATAAGTACAGAGGTGAAAGTAACAATCGAGTAAATAATTTTGTACGTAAGGGAGTTGTGAGAAGTGGCAGTCGCATGTATGGTGGGATTTTTATACCCAGTTGTATTGGACTTACAATCGCTAAAGTATAACTTTTATTTTCAGTAGTTTACTTGTAAGAGTTCTTTTACGAGGACGGTCAGCTATTTGTCTTAAGGATCGTCGAGAAGACAAAGCGCTTATTGAGGTAAATAAAATGTCTTGTTCTTTATATTTATAAAAGTTTCTGGAATAAAAAACTATTAGCTTCACTGGCTTATTCCGTCCAACCTAATTACTTAACAGCTTAATTAAATTTATTCATTTAATATAAAATATCTTCTTGAGAAATCTTTGTGTTAAGTAATTCTATAGGGTGAGTTTTGATTCACATTATAATAATTTGATTTTCAGATTAAACTGGGTGATAAATAAAATTCTAAATAAAAAATGAATCAGCAACTAACTATTTCCCTGGTGGTCACCGTTATTGTAGGTCTATTAGCACTTACCTCTGTAAATGGATTTCCCGATGGAGCGCCGGTCGATGTATGTGTTAAAGAACGACCGAATCAGCCCTATCATGGTCAGTTTCGTTCACAGCCCGCTAACACCAGCCCTTATCAGATTATAGCCTCATCAAAAGATTACGCACCTGGAAAACAAATTAGTGGTAATTTTAATATTTTTTTTTTTTTACATAAAACAATTAATCATTTAAATAAATGAATAAGATACCTTATCTGATTTATGTAATTCACTAATTTTAATTTTATTTTCAATTTAATTTCATCAATAAAAAGCACTTTAGACATTCGATTATTTTTTAATTATAATAAATGACAAAAGAATCTTAATCTTATTTTCTTCTTCTAAAAGAAGAATATATTAATTTCTAAATATTTGATTAATAATATTTTAATTTTTGCTCTTTTCTTCTCACAGATAAATTTTTTCTAGTCTTCTTATCATTTATATTTATTTTTTGTTTAAAAATAAAAAATGTATTATTTCTTCTTTGAAAAAAATTTAATTTATGTAACTCAGTGATTTTAATTTTTTTTTTTCAATTTAATTTCATCAATAACAAGCACTCCAGATTCGATTATTTTTTAATTATAATGAATGAAAAAAGAATCTTAATCTTCTTTTCTTCTTCTAAAAGAATAATATAGTAATTTCTAAATATTTCATTAATATTTTAATTTTTGCTCTTTTTTTCTCACAGATAAATTTTTCCTAGTCTTCTTATCATTTATATTTATTTTTTGTTTAAAAATAAAAAATGTATTATTTCTTCTTTAAAAAAAATCTAATTCATGTAACTCAGTGATTTTAATTTAATTACATCAATAACAAGTACTCTAGACATTCGATTATTTTTTAATTATAATAAATGTCAAAACAATCTTAATCTTCTTTTCTTCTTCTAAAAGAAGAATATATTAATTTATTAATATTTAATTAATAATATTTTAATTTTTGTTCTTTTCTTCTCACAGATAAATTTCTCCTAGTCTTCTTATCATTTATATTTATTTTTTGTTTAAAAATAAAAACTGTATTATTTCTTCTTTCATCTTCATTAATCTGAAAATGAAAAAACGGTTTTAGAAACAGAAACTTTTAATAAATTGAATGAAATAAAATTTTAGTCAGCTTAAAGGGAGATACTTTCAAGGGTTTCTTCATACAAGCCAGAGATTCGCGCACTCATGCATGGATAGGTAGCTTCGCAACAACACCCAACACCAAAGTTTTCGACGAGTGCAGTTCAGTAACTCACGCCGATTCAAAAGATAAACAAGAAGCTACATTAATTTGGAACTCTCCAACCAAGGGACAGGGTCAAGTCTACTTCACGTAAGTGTCACACATAATCTTTCCTAGAAATAATTAAAAAAATGTTAATTACTTTAAATTAGTAGACAGTAGTAGTATAATATTGAAATAATAATTTATGCAATAAATCACCCAATAAATCTTTCATTTAGGTGCAGTCCAAATAAATTTATTATTATTATTATTTTATTATATTACCAACCTATTAATTACCATAACCAGTTACTTTGTTAATATCGATAATAACCGACGGTAAACATAGTGACAGAAATGTCAAGAGAACTTTGAACTCGTGATGCAATTCAGATTTATTAGCAAACTTGTTTGGAAGGTGAATGTGTCAATAGTGATTGATTTCGACGCTTTTAAGTTATTGCAGATATAAGTGTTGTCGAACCGGTTTTCTATTTATTTTTCATTCCAATTCGGGTTTAGTTATGTCTGGTGAGCTCTTTAAACCCAAACTTTGTCTATATTTGTATCTTCTTCGTATCATCGACCCATATTACCATTTACAGTAATGATATTGAATTTAATAGACATTTAAAAATTTTTTTAACAATTAAATCATTAGTTTCATATAAAAATTAAGTTAGCCGACATCTCAAAATTTTTAGAATTTTTTTTATTGAAAAAATTATTACAGAAAAAAAATTCATTTGTAAAAAACTTGAAAAACTATAGGGTAAATGCACCAATTATTGACCGATTAAGGTTTTCTTTTTCTGTACTAAGCTATAAAAAATCTATTAACCTACTAAAAACAATTTGTAATGGATTTTATTAAAGTTAAATACTTATTTAATAATAATTAATAACTATTTATAATAAAAGTTAACAAAATTATATTAATTTTGTTATTTGAATCTTGAAATTTTAAAATCACCAATTATTGACCGAAGAAACCCAATAAATGACCGACCGTTCTCCAATTAATTGACCGCTCAAATAATTATAAGTAATTTTGTAAACTACTTGTATGTAATTAAATTTATGCAGTACTTTTAAAGTATTAACGACATCTTTAACCAAACTAAACATACAATATAATTTTAAATCGTACTTTTTTATAAAATTATATAAATAATAGCAATAATTAACATAAAATCACATTTCTTTAGGTCACAAATAATCACAAATTCATTTTGATGACGATAATTCTTCTGATTCACTTGAAATTTTTTTATTTTTCTCAATTAAAGCTTTTTTACTAGCTTGTAACTCTTTTTTATTTTTTTAATTGCTTAGCAATTTTTTCTTCTAATAATTCGTTTTTTGATATATCACCGTTCACTAAAAAAATTACAACAAAATAAAATTTAATAATCAAAAAAGATTTTAAGTATTATTTTAATTATAAATATCCATTTTATAATGATTATTTTTATATTTACAAAATATTTAATGACTAAAATACTTTAAACACTTGACAGATTTAATTTTGAGATTAAGAAGTTAGTATTATAAATATACGGTGATTAATTGGATTGTGATAAAATCAGAGGGTCTAATAAATAAAATAACCGAATGAATTTTTTACTGGGTAAAGGGCTTCTGACGGATCCAATAGTTGACCGGTCTTAAAATAATAATAAAACTTATAATTTAACTTTATTTTTTCAAAAAAGTTGGAATCTGATCTTTAATTAACATAATAAAACTAAAATATTTGATATTATGCCGATAAATATCACCAAATTAATGATGAAATGCACTCACTCTCCAATTGTACGCTAGTTATATATTTTTGACCGCTTTATGGCTGGTTGCGTTGTAAACAAACTCAGAATATTTTTTTAAAGCTATAATCACTGCGCAATTAATTGCGTAATTCTTTATTATGATGATTAAATGCCATATTTTTTTATTTTAATACTTTAAGAAAAAAAAAACCTTGTAAAATATTAATTAATTAACTTTTTTATACATCGGTCAACTAATTGGTGACCGGTCAACAACTGGTGCATTTACCCTAAGTGGAATTTTTTTTAAATATTTTTTTGTTTTAATTTAATTATTGAAAAAAAATTAAAAACGTCGGCTAATTTTAGTATTATTAATTTCATTATCATTTAACAGTAATGTAATTTAAGATACTGAAATTAGCGGACACTTTATTTTTTTTTTGAAAAACTAGGCCTAGAAAATAATTTCATTGAAACTTTTTGAGAGTTTGTAAAAGCTGGAATTTTAAAAATAAATTTTTACTACAATTTATTTGTAAAAAAAATTCTAAAAATACACAATCTGTTTTAATTAATTACTTATATATTCTTCCAGTGGTAGTATCTTAAAGGATTACTCGACTTTCTGGGCAGAGCTGATTTCTCAATAGAAATTTCTTACGAACTTTAGATGACGATATACTTTTCCGTAAGTACTTACTTAATTCTTACATACATATGTACGAGGATTATATTTAATTAAATTCAATATTAATCTTATTGAATAATTTCAGATGTAAAGCAGGATTTTATGAAATGATTTCGTCATCGAAGAAATAAAGTTACCTTTTATAAATATATAGATTAACTTTGAATAAGATACTTATAAAATCAATTAAAGTTAAAAGTTTTATAAATAATAAATATAAGTAGCTAGATTTTTTTTCTTGAGTAATTTTTGTAATTACTAACATTAAATTTTACTTTTATAGACGCTAACTTAATATATAAAATGTATTGAGATGTTGAAAAATAAATTGAGAGGTTCAAGTGAGTAAGCTGAAAATTAATTAGAACAAGTAACTTGTTTATCGAGAAGAAATAATAAAAGTCTAGACTGTTAATAAAAGCTTCAATATAAAGAGTAAGAGTGTACGTGAGCTCTTTTCTTATTCGCACATCATAAACGGTGGATTTCCTTAATGGATAATCTTACGACGTTTTCCTCTATATAACATTTTATGTGAGCTGAATGTAACGAGCTGAGCGATCGGTGGAAAATTGCATAAAGCAACAGACCAGCGCGGGTAAAAGTGGGCCAGCGCGACGCAATGCGATACATAACATAATGGTAGTCGCGTGTATATGTGTAAATATTTTCTCAAGTCAATTAAATCCTAATGCGACAGGAAAAATATTATTACAAGGTAATAAAATCCTGCGAATGGCATTGACTTGTTTTTAGAGTAGACAAAAGTGCTTAGCTGTGATTATACACAGCAAGGTGTCTTTTATTTTCCTTTGGGCGTTTACTTATTTATTTAAGACCTTAATGGTTTCTTGATTTATTTTTTTTTTATAATGTCAGATTGAAGTGGATCGATATCTGGAGATTAAAATAGAAGCATGACGCTTTTACACTTTTTCTATTTTATATTCTTTATTATTGTTTATTGTACTTTAAAAAAACTTAAAATTATTCCCATAAATTATTTTTCACCACTTTGTTGATAAATTTTCTCTCCCTTAAATTTATAATATAATACTACACTTTTCTTCCCGCTTTTACTAAGCACTAAAACAACTTTTGTGCTTGCGTAGAAAAATAATAACTCTCTGAGTTTATTCACTTCCTCCGCACTATTTTTTACCCTATTTTCAGTAATTAATCACATCTGGCATCATGATGGATGAAAAAAATATGATACTGTCTTTTAAAAAAGATGTATTATTATCTATATTTTTATTTACACAAAAGACCGATAAATAAATAAAAAAAGAAATAAATACTACACGTTATATTTCAAAGTATAAATAATTCATCAATATAAATTATTCAAGTTACCCCAGTTCAGATTTTAATAAATAAACAATTAAAAAGAATTACAGAGATAATTTTTATCTTAACAAAGAAATATAAATTTATATACTTTTATAAATTAATATTTATGTAAATGTTTGCTGTCGCTGACTTTAATGAGATATCGAAAGATTTTATTTAAAAAAGTTTCTGCTGTTGCGATACTGAGATGGATTTAATCAAATGAAATGTACTTTTATTATTTTCAAGCCCGAGGAATAACTTGGGGATATTATAATTATAATAAATAATAATAACTAGCAACCTTGCAGTCACTATGGGACTCCCGTGATTTGTGAATTATAAAAAAACAAAACTTTTGCTTCATTAGATAATTACTTTTGTTAAATTGCACTTTTTTCTTAACTGTTGACATTTTTAAAGAGATAAGCTCATCCTGATGTTTCACTCATCAAGAGCTTTCATTTGAGTACCCACATGCATTTTGATATATTTTTAATATATACATATATATAATATATATAAATATATGAAAAATTGATGTGGGTACTCAAATGAAAGGTCTCGATGAGTATAATGTCGAGGTGAGCTTATATCTTAAAAAATGTCAATAGTTCTCAAGATACAATGTCGTTTTTTAATTACGTTAAATTGCACTGTATTTTCTTAACTATTAATATTTTTAAAGAGATAAGCTCATCCTGATGTTACTCTCATCAAGAGCTTTCATTTGAGTACCCACATGCATTTTGATATATTTTTTATATATTTATATATATAAATATATAAAATATATGAAAAATTGATGTGGATACTC